AGAAAGTTGTTCAAACTTTCTTGCATATTCATCAAGCGACATATTTCCTTGTTTCAGCTATAGGAACTCCGCCTCTCTCCGATCCCTCAGTGATTGGAGAAAGTATTTTATCACTACATCTTCTTTGAACTGTGCCCAAATCATAGCACGTTGTTCTAGTGCGTGAAGCAGACTCCCACCAATGGCCTGTTGTTCCAACCAGCATAAATTCGGCACATGATACCTTCTGTGCATCAGTGCATGCCATGTGTTTGTAGATTCGTTCCAGCCCTCTTAACCACTCTTTGACTGCCAAAGAATCTGCCTTTCCATCAAAAGAAGGAGGTTTGAATCGACGAAACTGCTCCACAATTGATCATGTGTTGTTGGCGTTGATCAGTCCATTCTGAGGTGGTTCTGGTGCTTGATTCCTACCAAGGTCGTGCACCGCCCTCATTAGGTCCCTGAACATAGCTACTTGGTCTTGTTGTCTTTCCATTTCCTTTAAATCAACAAAATAAATGTTGTTTTAGAAATATTGGACAACAAAGTAGCTCAATATGTTTACACGAAACTAACTATTTTATTAATAATACTCCTTGAAAATAGGATATATAATAGTTCGACAATTTTTTTATTTATTTCCAGTTACGTAAAGGAAGAAATATCACAATACAAGGAAATAGAATCTAAGTTTTCTAATCCTTATGAATCCTGCGAATCTTCATTGGTGGAGTTTCATCTTCAGAGGAGTCTTCTGCCTCAGGACTGGACTCTATGTCCATCTCAACCAGTGGCTCAGGTTCATGATCATTCTCTAATTCCAACTCAATGTCATCTTCATGCTCCCATTCAGGATCTTCGTCTGGGTCCGATTCAAACTAAGGTTTTGGCATTGGCTCGAGCTCAAACTCAGGCTCAACCTCGTCATCAAACTCATTTGTCACCCCAGGTTGGGGTTCTAAGATCTCACTCCACCTATCTAGAAGTGTCTGACAATATATGTTGAAGTTGATCGTATTTTGGTGCTCTGGAGGGTTACCTTCTAGCATCTCATCTCTAACTATAATTCCCATATTTCCCCATTGAGGTGAAAATGAATGTATGAGGTTATTTATAGCCTCGATATGTGTGATCTCCAGTCCTACATCCACAGCTGTCATACATCTTTCATAGACTTCGTGGACGTGTTCGACAAGGGAATGAGTTGGGTCGGTCACGAAATTCTCATAGGAATGAATGACGGACCTACGGTTTAATGCTGCTCTACAAGTTGTGACCTTTCTAGAGATTTGATAAGTTCTAGCCATGTCTGTTACATAAATGTCCAATTATGCTTTATCTTTGTTAGTCAAATTATACATTATGGTTTCTACTTTGAATGAAATGACTAATCATCATACTTCATATACGCTAAGCAAAATAACAATTTACACAGCATATTTCATTCTAAACTTCGTGAGCATTTCTTGAAATCGAGCTTAAATAATTCATAAATCATGCTTGACAGTATGATTAAACATAATATTTCGTTCATACCTTGGGTTTGTCGGACGGTAGCTGATTGACGAGCGCTAAATGCCATGGGTCTTATGTTAAATACTCGTTTAGTGAAAATCTCATACTGAAGTAAAAATACATAAACAAGTAGACACGTACTCACCATAAGTAGAGATCATTTTCTTAACAAGTTATATTGAAACCACTAGAGTAAAATTGTTTCATCTACTTTAGAAATTAATTACCATGTTTTTTACCGAAAAACTATAATAATTAAACAATGAGCACATATTTTATCCACTTCCTAAATCTGAAGTAGAAGAAAAATCAAAATTTTGTGTCTATCTAATTCGAGAATTAGAAGCAATATTAATCAATCTAAAATTTTTTTGCAACACAGAGATCCAAGTATCATCAGTGGTAATTTCTAAGCACTTTATTTGAAAAGGTGATAAGACATTATAGTCCAAACTTCAAACCAGTTTCCCTAGGTCCAATTAAAACACAAGACAATCCAAATGGAAAAAGTCCAACCTATTTGGATACACGATAGATTGCAAAGACACATTTTTCATGTCTTGCACAATTGCAATAACAAACTTATGCTCACTTCTCTTTAACAAATTCTATGGTAGTTAAAATAGTTTACAAATGCAAGTAAAATGCAGCTATGATTATTAAAAATTTCGACATTTGAAGCTGCTAATCCATTGAATCAGATTTTTTTTTTCGTTTTCTCGACTAACGAAAGTGAGGTGTTAAGCAAGAAAAACAACAAAACAACTATGTTATATGATAAAATCATTTCATAAATACGTAACCAATAAAGCAAGGAACATATTGTCAGACAGAATTGAGCTCTGGATAAAAGTATGAAGCAATTTCCCACACATCCTTTATAATAAGAAGCTTATAAATTGTACTAAGGAAAGCATTTGCCATGGCATAACAGAAATTATATATATATATTTTAAATGACAAGTCTACAGAATCGACTAAACTCGTGTTCTGATATTATTCTGTAATGCCCCGAGCTCTTTTTCATTATTATTGTTATTTTTAAATAAAAATGAGCTTGAGGTGCTATCAAAACTTTTTTTGTTTTATCTTATTTTAGCGGAAATATAACTTTTTATTTTAGTGATCAAAATTTGGTCGACAATTCAATAACGACAAAATAATGATTTAAAATAAAATCTTGAAATATCCCATCTCAAACTGTAAATTAAAATTCAACATAAAGTGTCGAATGCTCGTACTCTAAGAAAAATATTAAATACCATGCATAAAAGTTAAAATAATGGTACTCTTTTAAATAGAATTTGACGATTATTTTTCTAGAAACTTTACTTGATGACCCCATAAGCATCACTGATCAATCTTCCACTCGTCCACACGATCCGTTCTGATCTGAAAAGTATTGTAAGAGTGAGTATTTTGAAAACACTCAGTAAAAATACGTGCATGTTCTTATAACATGATATAAACATAATATGGCATAACATACCGACATATCTTAAATTTAGAGCAAACTGATCGCGATTCCAACAGTTTAAGGAATTTCTTAAGAATCCCCATATCCCATAGGATTTAATTATATTGACCCAAAGGTCCATCCCGTAGGATTTAACTTCTTTTCTTTAACCTGACGGTTCATCCCGAAGGATTTAACATATAATTCAACCCGAAGGCCTTATAGTATTTCATGCCAAATTTACATAAATATCAACGATAAGAATTTACCACTTATACCATGTATTCTTACCTCAAAAGAAACTTATGAAATATGTATTTGCAAAATAAAATGATACTCTTTTTTCAGAATACGTGTGTTTAAACGTGAGAGTAGTAGTTTCTGTGAGGTAAAATGAGAATTTTTTCTTTCATATGATATATAAAGGTATTCACTTGTATTCTTATCTATCATTGAAACGTCAAAAGTCATGTTTGAATATTCAACTTGTAAGTTAATATAATATTTATTTTCATCAGCCACGTCTCATCACTTTGACGGTTGGTCGTCAAATTCAAAATAAAATTTATTAATTATTCATTATCTAAATTAAATGAATGATTTATGTTTAATGAATATATATTAAATTATAAAATCATTTCAAATTCCAAAGTGCATGTACTGAAGTGAGGATATTTAAGTTTAGTTAAACATACACGTTTCCCTCACAATCATATATCACATATTTCTAGAAAAATCATTATATATATATATATTGAAATATAACACTTTTCTTTTTACTGGAATTAATCGGATATACCTAGTTTAAAATCAATATTTCTTGAGCTCAATTTATTCTATTTAGTACCAGCTACATAACAAGTATTATATTGATATATTTTATAAATCTTCTATAATCTTTAAATAATCGACCCTAGATGAAGGTTACGATAAATTTATATAACTAAGACAATAAATCGTTTTTTTGGCAACTGGATGGGTCAACTTATCATATTAACTTTTAGATCTTAATGTGACAACAATGCTAGACATGACTATCTCATTCGTAAAACGATATTGATTTTTCTCCATATGAAAATATAAATAAAAGTTGGGGCGTCACATCTTTCGTCCAATTCGAAATCACCAAAGTAACAAATTAAGATTACAACTCTGTATGACGAAACAGAATTTTTAATTTCAAGAAAAATATCAACGACAATAAAAATAGCAAAAAAGCTAGAAAATAGTCGAAAAACAACTGGCAATCCACTGTTTAACAAAACAGTGGACTGGACCGCTGGCTGTTAACAGTCAATAGTTGATTGTTCTCACTTATCAATCGTGTCCGACTGCATTTTCGTATATGCAACTTAATTTTTTTCTTGGTAAATGCTTAAAAAAATTATAGATCTATTAAAAAAAGTTATCTACATTAACATTATATGTTGAAATAAAATTTATCAATTAAAACGTACAATAATTTAACAAAAATAAAATTAAATGTGCTTATTTATACTTATCGATCTGACGAGATTGATATAAAAATTTTTCGACTATCGTGTTCAATAATTTTTTTAATTTTCGAGGTTGAAACAGATGATAAATGAGAGTATTTTTATCTGTATTGGAGTAGACAGATAAAAAAAGATGACTGATTTTGATGTTTTAAGTGGATAGTGTTTGATTTTTAATCGTTTACTAAAAAGATAGTAATGTCTTTTACACAAAAATATCTTTTATAATTGTATAATATACTTAAAAGTATTTTTGTCTTTTATCACTCAATAAGTACTCGTGATAATATTAACAAATAAAGAAGTCAAATTAAAATTTTGCCCTTGTTTAAGTCTCATTCTTTTGAAAAAATACATTTTTCAATAATGTTTTGATATTATTTCAATTACACATTTTTTAATAAAATAATATTATATATAAATTTAAAATTTATTTTTTTATTTTTTAACCATACATTTTCAATCAATATACTAGTTAAAAATTCTTTCTATCCCAAAAAATGGGAGTCTTGTTAATTCCAGCCCATTTATAAAAGTATCCCGCGAGCAACCCTGTTAAACCCTAAGAATATACTCTTTTTCCTCTCCGATTTCACTAAACCTAGGTATACACAATTTTTCCTCTCCAATTTCACACCAATGGGGAAGGTAAAGGGAAAACATCGTTTGGACAAGTACTACCACTTGGCCAAAGAGCATGGCTACAGATCTAGAGCCGCATGGAAGCTGGTTCAACTTGATTCCAAGTTCGGCTTTCTCCGCTCGGCTAATTCCGTGCTCGACCTCTGCGCCGCGCCGGGTGGATGGATGCAAGTGGCCGTCGAGAAGATGCCTGTCGGAAGTTTAGTAATCGGTGTCGACCTCGACCCGATTCGACCCATTCGCGGCGCTCTCTCCGTACAGGAGGATATTACCCAGCCTAAGTGTAGGGCGGTGGTTAAGAAACTCATGGCAGAGAATGGATGCAGGGCTTTCGACTTGGTGCTACACGACGGCTCGCCTAATGTTGGGGGTGCGTGGGCTAGGGAGGCTACCAGTCAGAATGCTCTGGTGATTGACTCGGTTAAGCTTGCTACGGAGCTTCTGGCTCCCAAAGGAACTTTTATCACCAAGGTACACGTTATATCTATATTTTTAAATATCTATTAACTGTATATAATTACTTGACTTGATTTTTTATTAGCAAAATTAACATGCTCTGATGCGGCATAATGTCGAATTCTAACATAACTAAGAAAATTTAATTATGCATATGACACAATAACAGTCACAAGTATTCTGTACTAGAAATGTGATACTTGGAAATAGGTTGATATTATTCAAGCAATTTGCAAATGCTGAAGTTGAAGAAATTTGATTTTAGTGGCTTTTAAACTTTATCCTGTGCACCAAAAATGGGGATGGTACTCTAATCACTAATAAACAAGTGGCTTTCATTGCATTATATGTACATAATTGTTAATATTTTTAGGTTCAGCGCCCTTTTTCTTCTAATAAATTTTGGGTGCCTACGCAGAACTTCATATGATTCCATTTCATTCTATTTACATAATTGCTTATAATTTTGGGTTCAGTGTCATTTTCCACGAGTAAATTTTGTGTGCCTAGGCAGAACTACACATGAATTTATTTTTCATGATCATTTAGTACCATTTTGGTTCCTTGAATGGTTTCAAGACAAAAAGTTCTGATGTTATGGTATACTATAATGTATTGGTAACTTGATGCTTTATTGCTATTCACAGTTTGTAATGGTATACTATAATGCATCTTGCCTGATATGTTTTGTACTCCATTTAGCATCAGTCAGTAGTGTATTAACCTTATATTGGGGATATAATGATTGAATGATGTTATGTCTATTGTTGTCCTGTAGGTCTTCAGATCCCAAGATTATACCGCTGTCCTTTTCTGTCTTAGACAGGTAATATTCTTTCCAATGAAAGTGACCAAGAATTTCTGTCTAATGTAAGTCCTTTTCTCACCTGTGAATGTTCTGTACAGTTCTTCGAGAAGGTTGAAGTGGATAAACCACAAGCTAGTCGTTCAGCATCAGCTGAAATTTATATTGTGGGTTTCAAGTATAAGGCACCGGCTAAAATCGATCCGCAACTTCTTGATATAAAGCATCTCTTCCTAGGAGGTAAAGAGCCTCCAAAGGTAATCCAATCACTCCCACCTTATCTGCATTTTATCTTTCTACTTCGTGTTGTAATTGAGATAATTATCTGTATGGATTTGACATATTCAGGTGGTGGATGTACTAAGAGGAACAAAGCAAAAGCGACACCGTGATGGGTATAATTTCTTCTCACTAATACATGGAATGTGCGACTCTCATCCAAAATCATTTGTGGAAAAGCAATGTTGTGTGATTGCCATATAAGTGAATGGCTGGGAGCCAGTTTTATATTTATGCTTGAGTATGCACGTTCTTTTTTCACACATTGAAGAACTGGCAAGGTGATCATGACCTGTAATGTTAGGACTGCAGAGACAATTTTACTATTGTTGTCTTTTCCAATTTCATCCCCTTCCTAGTTTTATCGACGTCATAATCGAATACCTAGCACCAATAATTCTAATCTTGGATGTGTTTGTTAAGCTTATCTGCTGCTAAATCAAACAGATAATACCCAGTACAGATCCGTCATTAAAGCCTTCCACTTTCACTACATCTCAAGACTGCGCCATTGCATGTCCTTAATGATATGGATAATTCCTTTTGTCTAAAGCACCCACCATTATACTTCCCTGGCACTCTATGGTCTCTCTAAATCAATAAAACCCATGCGCAATCTTTTTCCTCTTCATTGTACTTTTTCACATAACTCTGAAGTAGGTTCATATATAATACACACCTAGGTTTAATTATTGTATTGATTAGGTTCCCTTTGCAGGTACGAAGATGGAGACACAACATTGCGGAAGGTCTGCTCTGCAGCAGACTTTGTTTGGTCTGGGTCTCCTCTTGAGATCCTTGGTTCAGTTACTTCTATAACATTTGAAGATCCTGCATGTTTGCTAATCAAGGATCATACCTTGACAACTGAAGAGGTGTGGTTATACTCTTTTCTTTTTCATTTTTTAGTTCATACGCGAGCGAAGTCATAATCATCGTTGTTGTTAGTAAACATAGATGATTTGCCAGCTTCACTATCTTGTTCTCTGACCAATTAAACCGTGTTTTCCTTCAATTGTGGGACAGGTTATATCTCTATGTGACGATCTTCGTGTTTTGGGGAAGCAAGACTTCAAGCATCTCTTGAAGTAAGCTTGTGCCTATTGTAACATACAATGAACCATGCACGGATAACTGTTTCCCATATTTGGTGATTCCGTGTTTCTCTCGATTGATTTCGTGCCTTCGATGTTTGTGTTGTGGTAGATGGCGTATGCAAATAAGGAAGGTGCTGTCTCCTACAGAGAAGGCTACTTCTGCTACGACGGCTGTGAAACGGGAGGGCAAGGAAGATGAAGATGAAAGGATACTTAATGAAATGGAGGAGCTGACGAATGCCATGGAGCAGAAGAAGAAAAGGGCAAAAAAACTTCTGGCAAAGAGACAAGCCAAGGTAATTGCCCATGTTCATGAATCCCATTCTGCTTTATTGGGTTCTTTTCTTAAGATACATATTCAACAGATAAGATTAAGCTAACATGGATTAGTTTGAGCTATTGTCTCCATTCTTGAAGTTATTGTCAGTTAACATTTAATTAAGAAGGCAGGTAAATCAGTTGATGATACTACAATGCTTTTTTTTTTTTATCTGATTTTGTATCGAGTGATGGGGAATGGCCATCATACTTGTTTTATCACTGTAGGCTTTCCACCATGCTAGATTCTTTGCAGGTTAAGAGGGCATAGCATAGTGAAAGCTGGGTGCTACTGAAATATAGTCAATGTTGTGTGGAACAAAGCTTCTAAACTTTAGATGTAATAGCTGATCTAGTATAATTTTGCAACTAATAATATGAGACTTGGAAATGTGTACTAAGGCTGGGATTTTAACCAACATGTTGGATAAGAATCACGGGGTTTTTGAGACTTGGGGTCTCTTCCTAGATTAGCTTTATTGTAAAACTTTTACCTATAAAAAAAAAAGAAAAGAAGCTTTATTGTAAAACTTTACATTCTCAATGCATTATTTAATACTTTTTAAGTCTGAGTTGGTTGTTGGATGATATCGGATGGTTACATTGTCTCCTAGCATTTTACCCATCAGGCTTTGATGAATTTTTCTATGGTTCAATTCCCATCTCCTTTGAACATTTCTTCCTATGCTATATACCAAACTTGTTCCTAATTCTTGTTAGGTTGTCCTGTCTATCATCGCCCCATCTTTTCCTCGGGGGTGGTTGTTGCACTTGCATGTAATCTCAGTTTTTGCTTTCGATACTCTTTCAAGACGTGACTAATCCTCATTTTACTTGTATAAGTGCAATATATCCTGCTTTGTCTAAAAAATCCTTTCATATTTTCTACAGGAGAAAGCTAGGAAAGCATTAGGCAAGCAAATAGACGCAACAGAGGATGGCTATACTGATCATGAATTGTTCTCTCTAACTTCTATCAAGGTATATTTCTCCTTCATTTATTATCACATTACCATTTTGAAAGATCAGTCATTTCTAGCCTATATTTATTGGCCTGTGTTTCTGTTCTGGTATGAAGTCTTGTGGTTTTCTTCTTACTCTTGGGACATTTTATAACTGTTACCTTTCATGTAAGAAATCAAATGGAAACCCTGGTTTTATTTTCTTAATTTATGTTTACGTTTTACTAAATTTTGCTTAAGTAGTGATGTTGAGAGTTCTCCCCTTTTCAATAACTTTGCCTTGTCACTTATATAGAGTGATGGAAATTCTTCTAATCCATATTGGATTTGGTTCTCTTTTAAATATAGGAATGTCATTTTGTATATTGTGTGGGCACCGAATTATGTACTTTTTGTCAGTTTTACACGAAACCTAGTATTTGCTTGGTCTACTCTTGTTATATTATTATCTCTGGAATGCTTTCATTCAGGGGAAGAAAGAACTTGTGGCTGTCGATAATCATGAATATGATGGTGAAAATGATGAAATTGGAAGTAGTGACAGCGAAGGAGGCCACGAGGAAGCACAAGGGGACGCATCTAGTGATGCAGACACTGATGAAGAACACCAGAGGTAGTTGTTTCCTCATAACTTGGATGTAAGCTTTTAAAGTGTGGTCTCTGTTCTGGATGCTTTTATAAGCTAACAGTATTCTGCTTTCAGGTATGGCGAGCAACTGCAGGAGTTACTTGACGAAGCCTACGAAAGATTTGTGGCTAAAAAGGAAGGAAATACGAAGCAGAGAAAGCGTACAAAGCAATCCTACTCAGAGGGCGATCAACTCTTGGAGGAGGTAAGCTACGGCTTTCTCCTCTCCCATCAAATATTCACTAAAAAAGAATGGATGAGCTCATTTTTGTTTTCAGAAAATGCACTTCCTGGCTAAATAGGTATATTTCTCTATGACTTGGACAGGGCAACGATGACAATAACATGGTTCATTCTGATCGAGACTCTGATAATGATGGAGATCGTGAGGTGAATCCGCTTGTGGTACCACTCTTAGAGAATACACCGAGTCAGGAGGAGATTGCAGCGAAATGGTTTAGTCAAGATGTCTTCATGGATGCCGATGAAAGAGAGGAGTTGGAGAATGATGATAGCGAAGATGAAATGCAGATGGATATGCCTGTTGAACATCCCACAATTCAGGAGAAGACAATTGAAGATTCACCAGCAAAACTCAAGGGTTCAAGAAAGACGAGTAAATTACCGACAGTAAAAGTTTCCAAGGTGGATGATGATTTTGAGATAGTTCCTGCTCCGCATACAGATTCTAGTGATTCTTCATCAGACGACTCAGATGAAGATGACATTGGTTCAAAAGCAGAGATATTGGCTTGTGCAAAAAAGATGCTGACGAAAAAGCAGAGGGAACAGATTCTTGATGATGCGTACAACAAATATATGTTCCATGATGAGGGATTACCGAAGTGGTTTGTGGATGAGGAGAAGAAGCATTACCAGCCAATCAAGCCTGTGACGAAAGAGGAGATTGCTGCAATGAGAGCACAATTCAAAGAAATTGATGCTCGGCCTGCTAAGAAGGTTGCACAAGCCAAAGCTAGAAAGAAACGAGCTGCACATAGGCAGCTAGAAAAGGTACGCAAGAAGGCGAACTCTATATCAGATCAGACAGAAATATCCGATCGTTCGAAGAGGAAAATGATCGAACAGCTTTATCAGAAGGCAACACCTAAGAAACCTAAGAAGGAATATGTGGTAGCAAAGAAGGGTGTCCAAGTCAAGGCTGGCAAGGGGAAAGTTCTTGTTGATAGACGAATGAAAAAAGATGCCAGGAAGCAGGGAATGAACAAGCGGAGGAAAGAAACAAAGGGAAAGCAGAAAGGTAAAGGATCGGCAAAGGGACCTGGAAAGGGGAAGGAAAAGGAAAAGGGTAAGGGGAAAGGGGGAAGTAAAATGAAGTAGAGGGAAATGCATGTTTGAATGTGATGGAGGGTTGTTCAGTAGCCAAAGGGTTGGAGAGACTTATAACAGGGCCTCCCGCGAAGGCTGTGTAGGAAGGAGACGACGACCAGAACTGATTTGAGTTAAGACTACGCTTGCCTTTGCTATTATTTATTTTTAATAATTCTGTTGGTGGAGAGGTTTTGCTTTTATTACTATACTTTTGTTTTCTCGCCAAGGTATTGATGTTGCAACAGTTTTGCTCGACTGATATCCATTCTGTACAATAAGTTGTGTTTTTCAATAATCCATGAAAACCAACCTTAGAGACGTACAAAATGTAGGCTCGATGCTACCCTCTTTTAGCATGCTGGTTCACAATATGACCTATTTCAAGTAATGGATAAATGAATTTGATTTATGGTGGAAGAATTTATTAACGATTTAATTTATAAATAGATAAAAATAATTAATAGATAAATGAATAATACTTGTGAGTATATTGGAATGTGTGCTTAAAAATAAATTTTGATAATTTATAAATTATTTATAAAAATTTTCCCATGAAGGCTTACGAATGGCATAGACATGAGAATTTTTTGCATACAAAAATTAATGGTTTAATATTATATCTAAGGTACAAACTTAGTAATGGCGCATCCTTGAAGGGTAATTGTATTCATATCGCAGTTTTTGTTAATTATACTACAAATTAATTACAATGAGGGTAATTAAGTTTTATTCATTTTTGCGCTTATTTCCCCAACGTATTTATTTACCATATTTTTATCTTCAATCTTCTATTAATTAGCATATATTGTCCCAGTGATGCTAAAAAACTGTAAGGATTGAGTAAAAAGATTTATATCTCTCATATTTTTAAATAAACAAAATAAACAATAAATATAAAAGTCCGACAAAGGATTTTTTTTTCCATGCTAACAGAATATTTAGACAGAAAGCATTATTAAAGTCAAGATGTGCTAATTAATTGAAAGTTAAATATAAATTTTGTTGGAAAAAGTTGAGAAAACGTGCGAGAATGAGCTAAAATTAGAATTTGAAATTATAACATGTTGCAGTTAATAAAAATCGTGATGGTAATGTACTATCCAAAATGAAAACAAGACTTTTGCGCATACTTGAATTTATATCTAGGCCTCTAATTTGAGTAATAAACCGTGAATGTTCATGCCAAAAATAAAATAAAATAAATAGATAAATAGAGAAGAAGAAGTGTTAAACATGAAAAAGAAAGGACAAATATCACTCATAAAACCTGTATTTTGGAAGCTTAATACATAAAATATATATTTTGTAACAATACCTTCTATCAAAATTGGGTGAAATTTCTCCGTGCACCATTCGTGACAAGGCACAGGTAATTCGAGACATAAAAATTAACAAATATTGTAAGACGACATACTTCTTCTGGTGTATCTTTGACGCACAGAATTCGAAAGTTGATAAAAGTCCCAATGACGGAATTTTGATCTCCAAAGAAAAACGCTCTGATCTCCTACAAAATAAGAAATTAGAAACTAATGATAGAAAAGTGAAATAACTCACATGGGCATACAAACGAAATGACGTAATTAGAACTCTCAACTGGGCCAGGTCGATTCTTAGCCCACCCACTTCACATGACCTGTCTTTAGTACAATATACATATATAACGTTGGATAATAAAAACAACAAAAGACACTTAATTTATACATGAAGTTATATTCAATTTGACGTACTAATATAAGTCAAGATTAAAGACGAACGTGATACACCATTAGATAGATCAAGCACAGTTTAATTTCGAATGAGTCCAGATCTACGGTTCCAGTATCGTTGTCTCATTGATAGCTAACTTAAAATATTTTTACGTTGAAGTTACTCATTTCATATACATTAGTTTGGAGAAGTAACAATCCAGTTATTTGCAAACTGTGCTTCCAATCCATCATTAGTCAAACTAAAAAAGAAGCAAAAAATGAGAATGTGAGCTGAGCAAATGGATGTACCTTTTCACCGGGGAATATATTGTAATGGCAGAGGCGAAATCCATAGCTTAATTAAATTAGAAAAATCCATAGCTTAATTAAATTAGAAGTCCTTTGTCATAAGTGGTTCATAGTCATAAGCTTCTTCAGCCTTCACAAATCTACCTTTCACACGCTTTCTTGTATCAGCTCTGGCTTTACGAGATGCATATCTTATTTGTTTGCCAAACCTACATAATTACAAAAAAAATGTTCAATAATAATTAGAAGTGGAGTTAGGACTCGAATCCAATAAGAGCATGAGAGTCATGTCATATTCGTACATTGGACCATATAAAAATTAGTCTTGGTATCACGTCTATATTCTATTTTCATGTTCAAACTTCATTAATTATATTTTTTAAACGAGTCATAAAAGAGTTAGATGTTAAAAGTTATAAAAAATATCATTATATTCCTCATAATATTGCCATAAATTCTCTTCAAGAATGATACAATTGAATCTTCTAAACTGATATGTACAATATCAAGGGCTCTCCATCCCTTGGTGGCATCAAAACTACCTTGGTGGTCTGGTATTTCTTAGTTTCATCGAAATGATTTTCATAAAACTACTATTGTTTAAGGTTTATTACTTGTATTTCTGTAGCATTTTTATTTCAATTATGATAAGTTCATAGTTCTTACTGCTGGGTTGTATACCCATATAGTATAATTTTGCTAATGTAAAAATAACAATAATAATTTTTTAATATTGAATAAAATTATGTTTACTTTATTTATTGCATTTATTTTTTAATGAGCGTGCGAAATTAAAGTGTCTGTGATCATTTATGATAATATGAGTTGGGTACTTGTGTTGAAAAGTACAGTAAGACACAACAATATTTTGATCATAAATAATTTGTTTACAGCCAATATATAAGGGCTGACACCTTATATTGGAAGGTTGTAGTGTTGGCCAATTCACTATTCAGGTTTGTGATTTATTCTTATCACAGAAATAGTTAAAGGTAACACTATTACACTTAGAGTATATTGAACGGACAATGTGTTGAATTTAATTCTGTAGCATGATCGTGCAGAGAATTAAATTCTACTTGACTGCCGTGTATTTCATTGAAATCCTTGGACAGGATTATGTATATCTTTTTCGCGATTTTAATTGTTCTTTTATTCATCAATCGGTGAGGTCAATTTGATTGGTCAAATATCTCGATGAGTTGGAAACTTGGGAATGAGCGGAGCAGGGAATATGAATTCATGTCGGGAATCGTCATCCTGAAAAATGGGTAGAGTGACTATTTAAGTATTTTCTGTTGAACGGTTAAAATCTGAGTTCAGTGTTTAGCGACGGCTAAACTTCGACATCTGGGATTTGTTCACAGGATCGTTGAAGAAAATGAAACTTAAGTTAGTGAGAATAATTAGAGGGGCAAAACGGTCATTTATGCTCATACCTAATTATCAGATCTCGAATGGGGATAAAATACATATACGATAGGTTAGAGGAAAGTATTATAAATTTATTGGCTTCTGTGATCTTATATATTTCAAGAGTTCGATCATTTGCCTTTAGTGAAAAAAGCAAAGACTAATGATTAGATTGGATGGTTTAGGGTCGACTTGATAGGATCTAATTATTGTAGCTTGGAAAATATATATCCGATCAGGTCTCTGTGGTATCTCCATAAAGTATTGAAACTTAATTACGGTAATTATAATAGTTTTGGCCCTAATTCTAATTACAATAAAATTTTGTATTTGGTTGTAATTACTATGAAAGTTATAAACTTAATTGTAATTGTAATTGAAGCTCTCAGACTACACATGTAATTATATGTAAACTAATTAGAATTGGACTTAAATTAGAACTCCTACTTAAGTTTTAATTAGAACTCTTATTTGAATGTGGAATTATAATTGTACTAGAATTATATCATCTTTTTCTCTATAAATAGAGACTAGATGCATAAAAAAATACTAAAACATTCATAATTTCATAAAATTCAAATTTGTAAAGAGAAAAATAGAGAGAAATATATTATTTTCTTGTAGTCCAAAATTCAAGAATTAGTTTCTAGATTAATTGAAAGAAGGTGCCTACATATCGGTGTAGTCTTTTCGTTGGAAAATACCATAAAGGCTTGAAGCACCAAGATTTCTACAATTAAAGGAGACGGAAGTTCGCGGATAAGAGTTATTTCAAGGTTGATCATTGAATTTAGATAAAAAATTCGAATTCTTTAATTTTGTTATAATATATATGTGAACATCTAGACGATCTTGCCTTTTGAATTAAAGAAACTTTTAATTTCTGATTAATTCCGCTTCCACATTCCAATACTTACACGGTATCAAAGCCGGAACATTTATAGTCATATACAAGAAAATATTATTGCATTACTAGGCAAAAGGAAAAACTAGAAATTAACGCATGAATTCATCAAAGGAAAGAGCAGAAGAAATACATACATTCGCGTCTTCTTCTTTTCGTTGTATCTCATCTTAGCTTTATCCCTCGCCCGTGGACAACTCGCTTCTAAATTCGAATCCCACCGGGAATTATCGCCCGTGAGGAACATCGGTGACAGTCCACAATCCTGATAATCAGCAGCACTGCTTTCTCCAGTGATATTGGAGAGTGATAGGGATATGGTTGAAGGAAGTTGGCAATTTGGAAACCCTAATCCAATACTTGATCTGTTGCATGCAGCTGCTGGGTTCATAACCATGCAATTAGTCTGCATTAAATTTCTGGAACCAGCAGCTACATGTGATGAAGGCTGATGGAAAACCCTGCAATCTTTCTGTCCTGATGAGGATGCCTAAAAAACGTTGAAGAAATATTAATTTTCAAAGCAAACACAAGTACATTAAGCTCAATTAATTAAATGCATTTAGGGTGCTGACAAAAGAACAGAAAGAAAGTTTTATGGAGGCATAATAGTAATGGGACAAGAAAATCTATAGAAACTCGAGTTGTGTAAGTGAACCTCGAAAGCACTTTCAAAATGAGTGCTATTTGATTGAGTGATCGATAAGTTTTTTTCCATTAGTAGGCTACCAATTCCTCCATCTTCGTAGTTATATCTTGGCTGATTGCCAAGCATTTCATAACTACTCTCGAAGCTCAAACCGATATCATCAATGTCAAGACTATCACAAAGTTCATCAGTTTCAGGAAGCTTGAGATCCTTTATATTAGCACAATCCTGGTGAAACAAACACAATTTGGCACAAAAAGGTGAGCAAGTGTTTTTACATTTAAGGGTATATATGTCTATAGAAGATAATCTCTCATGTCCTATTATGTGAAGTACGTGAGAATAAAAAATAAAATGAGTAAAAAAACATTTAATCACCTTTAGCAGGCCCGATCCTTCAGAGAAAAATTCTTTTTGATCTCTATTATATAAGGATTTCTGATCTCTATTGCATGCTGTTAAATAGTCGGAATTATTGGTAGATGGAAGAGGAGGTGGTGGAACAGCCCATGGTCCAAACTTGACACATGGTGCTAAGTCATTTAGGCAGGGAGCAGTCACATTAGAATTCTCATTTGTAGCCATTGCACTCTGGAAACTATTTGTAGTTTGCTGGGGTGCTTCAAGAACTGAAGACCAGATTTTGGAGAATTCAGCCAGAGAAGGACATCCGGTGTAGAAATTCAACTTTAAGCGACGATGGTCGACGCCCGAACAACTGTTTCCATTCCAATCACAATCTTCGCAAAGCGATAACTGATCCTCAATACACCTCACCGTGGCCGCCTGTGAACTACATTTGTCACAAATTAGAGAACGAGGGTGGCGACATGACAGAGAATTCGCTGAGTGAACACGGCCATCGCATTGCAAACAAAGCTTAGCAGAATCTGATTTACAGTAAACCACTGCACTCACCTCCCCGCAAAACTCACATAGAGGCTCCATTTCTTGCCTCCTTAAACTTTCTCTAAGCTAAAACACCTTTTTTCTTTATTATTTTTCGTGTTTTTTTTTTTTTAAGTTTTCGATCAAGAATCTGTAAATTCTGTGGCGGGATTTTGAATTTTATTGGATAAAACAAAAGTGATGGATCCAATGAATAGCAAACTGATCATTGTAATTGATAATAATAGCCAAGAAAAATGAAAATAGTCGATTAATCCCGCCACCGTTTATTTCAAAGCAAAATGTAAAGCAACAGCATTAAGAACTGATATACCATTAATGGAAGAAAAATCACAGAATTTGAATAATTTACAATTTACGGTAGAGGAAGAAATAACAAGAGATTGCTTCATATTTATCTGATGTGATTTTGAGGGCTTGGGTGAGTGCCACGTGGCACATTGTGGTCTACAAAAAAGTTAATATTCTTGCTGATGTGGAAAATGTTTCTACGGTTTTAAAGATCTGCTTTGCTTAACCTTGGGACTCGCTCTCTACTTCCCTCAATGGCTGGACGGTTTTGAGGATCTGCATTTATTAAATAATATATATTTTTTAAATGAAATAATTTATTTTGGAAAAATAATTAGTTCTTTGAAAATGTAGATTCATGTCATATCTAGTTTGAATGAAAAAAAAAAATAAAAAAAATACGAGTTCGTTTGTAAAACGAATGTTTAAATTTGCTTAATTGCAACAAAAAGAATATTACTGATACAATATTTTGGCTAAATAAGATTTATTTTCATACTTAATAATTTATTAATTTATCAATAAATTAATATTCACGTAGCTAACAATTTTTTCTTGGCCCCAGTGCCATTAATATTTTGGTTTCCGAATTTGCATTGAAGTCTTGGAGTGCTATATTGCTTTAGTTATCAATTCAATTACTGCTTTCAAGATTCAAGTGTCTCCTTCATTCAAGAACAGTAGTAGGCAATATTCATTTCTGGACTTCACTATAAAATAAAATTGAATACAATAGTGTCATTAATTAAGAGATCAATCTACGATCTGTGGAGGTGAAGAAGTTTGTGTATCTTCGACAGATATTTCAGTAACATCATCAACAGAATTGGAAATTGCTATCCTCTCAATCATCCGCGTCGCGTCGTTACACAGCATTTCTTTCTCCAAGTGTTGGCAATAGCTTTCAAATACTCGAGATGTTACTGTTACTCCGAAATCTAAAAGGAAAAGCATCTCGATTTCGAGCTTGTTTAGTTCTGTATTGGTCACTCCGCCAACACGGGCATAAAATGCATTGTTATAGTGCCTGATAAGACATACACGACAATAGGTCATGGAACACATCGTTATAGCGCATGATATTTCTATATATCGCCATCATTATGGACATACTGGACAAGTTTAGTACACTAAAATGAACAAGATTACGGAATAAAATTTTGTTAATAAAATTTGTCAGTTGTTTTATGCATTCTTCTATCAAGAATAACAAATCCATGAAGTAAAAATTAGAGGAAAATATTACTCGTACACAACTATTTACATAATGATGAGGTGTCAAAATGTAAGTTAAGAAGATATTTGATTGATGAGATTTTGATTCAATTGAATCTCGCCACCCCATCCGTTAGTAAATCATTATGTAAATTATTATGTACACGTTAGCACAACCCAAAAATAAATTTTGATTCCTTTCCTTTTTACTAAGTTTCAGGTATAAAATTAAGTTGGGGAGAATCCCCTACCTAAATACTAATAAAATAATTCTTCAAATTTATGTAGAAAGCTTCTAATTAGAAAGGATGAATCCATGAATTCAATAATCAAAAATGCCGAAAGCATAGACATAAGATGGATTCAACACTACTGATCATCTTGTGCATCCAGGTTCATTTCTTTGTTAAATCTCTAATTCAACTGATTATATATATATAGGACTAGAGAGAGAGAGAGAACTCACACATCATCGAGAATCTTGGAAGCCACCATAACACTTGTAACCAGCAATCTATGAACATTGAGAGACACCACGAGCGAGTCGGGATACTTATGCACCAACCTGTCTATATACACATAGCCTACCACAAAACACGACGGGCTACAATTCGTGTAATTGTATATTCTCTCTATATAATTTGGAATCGTAATGCTTGGGGCTCTCACGCCATGGAAGGCATTCAAGCTCTTCCCAAGCCGAGCCGAGCCGAGAACTAGCTGGTCATTACGTGCCACTAGCTTCTCTAGAACACAAGATAAGATGGTAAGAACTCTAGGTGTTGTTGGTTCGGCCCGCTGGTGGTGGTGGTGGTTGTCGCCGCCGGATGACATCTACGCCATTGTTTTCTGGTGGATGAGAACAGTTTGGACAAATTCTTTGTCACCTCAGACATTCTGCTAACTGGTAATGTAAGGGCACGTTCACGTTATCTTCTATAGTCTAATGAGCGCTTGACACCTGGCTTAACAAATCTATTTGGAACTATTGGTTATAAAATTTCACCTAATTTTTCTTTTGGTGGGATGCGGAAAGATCATTTGCTACGTAGCAGTAGATTGATATTAGTTTAGGGCTTGACAAGAGGCTTAATCTACGGACATCATATGGGGGAGTTTAAATATGTTTATGTTGTACTCGTACGTTGAGGCAATGTTTTGCTTTTGAGTTGAAAATTTTTAGAATCCATAAAAACTGAAAATTTTGTAAAAAATACTGCTACTTGCAGTTACTACCACAGTCACCCTACGTGTCACAACTTTTTATCTCGTCAGCTCTCCGTACCTAAGGCTATCTTCACATCACTTCCTTGAACTCGCTTGGTGGAGCGTGTGGTTTAATTCGATACAATGCACAAAACCTTATTAGCCCTTGACACATGGGCCAATGAACAACATAAAGAGGCAAACCCAGAAATTAATCATGTGGCGGTTAGTGATTTAATATATGTGGCAAGAAAAAACTACCAAACTAATACATCAAATCATAAACCGTCATGGGTTGACTATCGTAGTGATTGACTATAAATAACATTGTAAAATTTCAAACATGTTGTTTATCTAGTTTTAATTCCTGATTCATAAAATATTGTTATAAATTGTTTGTTTATGTAACATCTCATCTCGTGTTGGACTCTATACTTTTGAGCATATAGTCATGACAGATTTATTGCTTTTGAGCGATCCAATCATTCCAAAATTCAACTTCTTGATCTAGTCTAAGTCTAGAATAAGTTTGGGTTGCTTGAATTGTGATTAGAAATTAGAAGTGTTCTAGACGGTTGAAAGTTCTTAGTTTGGTTGAAGGGTTTGAATTGAGCATTGATTATAAATTAGGGTTCGGTTCACAACTATTCATTTCAATAAAAGATAATGTACTAGTAAAGGCTAGCCTTTAAGAAAATGTTTACAAAACTAACCTTCAATAAGCTGGCCCTATATATCACCAATATGTAGGAGACAATCTAACAGGAACGAGGGATGCTTATGATAGTAAAAAAACTACCTATTGAGATATATAAAAAAAATCGAAAAAGGGAAAAATATCATATAGAGTTAAGCACTGGTACGAAACAAAAATAAGTATTGCAAGCCTGCCCAAGTATTAGAGACTGGACGATTAGTTCATTTGACTTGTACAAAGACCCTATGACCATAATTTTCGAATTCTCGGTTATCTAATGATTGTTTTGGTTGGTTCAAAAGAGAGGTTGGGACAATAATCTTCACTTGAGATAACCTCTGGGGTTGAGGGTAGAGATTTTAGATGTGATCTATACGAGTGAAGAAGGGTAAATATGAGTCCAACAGAGACCACTTGATTACATTATTTAGGTGATAAGTAATGATTGTAATTAGCTATTCAAACACACATGGAGTGTCGAACATGGAATGATTTAAATTTTTGTGATTGCAATATTTAACTGCAGTTCTTGAGATAAATACTTGAATACTATTTTGAAGCATACATGGTAGAAAGTCAAATCAGATTGCAGACTATTTTTTCCGTTGCTTTAATCATATTAAGTTTTGTTTTGATCAAGGAAGGGAGAAAGGATAAATTTGAGGGAATTTAATAAGTGTATTTCTTACATTTATCTCACCTTTTAAGCGAGGTATTTTTGTGTAATATTTCAGGTGTTTTGGATCTAATTATTATTTATTTTAGTTCATTTTCAAGATTGTAGGAAAAAAATTCCCAAACTTGAGTATATTGATTAAATCGGCAAGAAAATGAGAAGAAGTTGAAATTTTGAAATGAAGATCGAGAACTGAGCATAGGATAGTGTTTGTGTGGTGGTAGCCAGCTTTTGATGGTTGTGATGGTGCAGATGTTCCACTAATTTTGATGATGAAATCAGAGAAGAGACGGAGGTTGAAATGGCGAATTTAGTGGCAAGTGGGTGGGGATTCTAGTACTGGTGGCAATATAAAATAGCAATGGTAGTGCGTATAGCTTTTTTTGGTGGAATGGAGTGGAAGATGGTGGTGGTAGAGATTTAGGGTTGGTAAGAAATAGGGTTGTGGTTTGTCGATGACACTGATGATGTCAATGATAATGGTGGTGGTGGCAGCGGATAATATTATATTACATGTTTAACAAAAGTATAAAAGAAAATGCTACTTGTACATATTTTTTTAACATGTTGGTTTATAGGTACTGAGCTAACAAGATTTCATAAGCTTTTTTTTTTTTTTTTGGTTCCATAAATGATGTGAAATCTTACCGGTTTGCAGCTAATTTTGTTAGTAGATGACGATGGATTTCAATACTAATAATGATAAAAGGAAGAAAAGATTAAGATCTAATATGTAATTTTTCTTAAAAGGTTTCTATATGAACTTGATTTTTCAAATCCTCAAACTAATTTTACGTTCTTTGATTCACAAAATTAATTTTATCCCTATTTTGACAAGAATTATTTTTTTATAGCCTTAAAAAAAGGAAACATTAAAAATACTTCAGTAAAATAAATTTGTAATCAATAAAAGGGAAAATTTTCAAACTAGTCTTTTTTATTCAAAACGAAGTTGTTTTTGCCATTTTTATGCCCCTATTTGATTTGAATAAAAAATAGAATTTTAGTATATTTTGATAAAAGCTGACGAAATGTATGATTAAAAAATTGATAAAAATTGTATGTCTAATGAAATGCATGGTCAAAATTGAGTTTCAATTTAGGCCTAAAGTTACTTGTCTAAAATGAATATTAATCTAAGTGGTGTAGTATAAAAATCCATAGAAATGAATTTTAAGAAATGAGAGATAAAAGGGGCTAAATGTCAATCCAATCATGTGAAATGATTGTAGTGCTTCTTCTATTAATAATAAGTCCCATAAGCAAATCTAAACAAAGTTGACCATGACAACTAGAGTATCTAAATGGACCGGAAATAATAGTCGACTTTCAATTTTGCCTACTTTGACAGATGTCTGGATTATTCGAGATTAGTGCCAAAAGAAAGAGACATAGCCCCTATTTGATATAAATTAAAATTAGATTTTTAGCAGATTTTAATAAAAGTTGATGAAATGTGTGGTTGAAAAGTTGCGAATCCTATAAAATGTGTAGTTAAAATTAATTGTTGACTTTAATCAATTTTTTAACGGTAACAAACAGGGTCCGTGTCTAAATGATATAGAAACTCTCATCGTATTTGTCTTATTTAACAAGTATTCCTAAATAGTTCTCAAAAAGTGCAAAAAGGATAATAGAAAATTTGACTAGTTATAAAACAAAAGTTGAAAAACATTTGGCGTTGTCTTCAAGTGACCTTCCCGTCTTAATAAAGCATTAAAAATGGCAACAAATACTCTTACATAAACCACAACTCAAACAAGAATTCCCCTCTCCAAGCACTTGCAGTGAGATTTTAATATGGCTTTATTTGCAATGACGTCAGTTAATTGAGGTCGTAGTCGATTTGTTCTTTGAATAAGAATAACGTGTTACGCCTCATCCTGTAGGCTCCATTTCGTCGACCCACTGAAACCTTTACGATGAAGCCACATGGATCATTGGCGTCTGTAGATCCGAAGTACCGAAGCCACACTCACCGAGGTGTCAAAACCATACTCACTGAAGCAATCCCATGTTAAAGACGAAGGGTCGAAGCTTGTCTGCCGAAGTAACGAAGTTCAATACAAGTCAAAGCCGAAGCCCAAATACAACTGACAACCCACACATGAGGATTCTAAATTTATGTATGGAATCCATTTGAAATGATTGATGTGATTTTTGTAATTAGTAAAATGTCTTGTCAGTTTAGATAATAAAGTGATTGCTCTTTGTAAGAGCATTAAAAGTGCCACAGGTTAGGTAGTTTAAATTGATGCTTAGGATTATATGCCTCGGTTAAGGAGATGAGATCACATGAATTTTCATTCAATGGACATAATTTTATTTGTAATATTATAAATACTCCTTCTATGTATTATTTGGATACTAATGCAAATCAATACACTTGAAGAAACTACTATTTATGTTCTTTCTTGCTGATAGGGTTGAACAACGAAACCGTCAAACCACCAAATCGAATTGAAACCGTTGGTTTGGATCCACGTGGATCCGTCAACACTTTGGTTTTGAGCCGAACCAAACCGCTTTGAAGTGATTTGATTTAGGTTTGAATTTTTGCAAACCGTTTCAAACCGCCATACCACTAAAAAAAAAAAAAAAAAAAAATCAGTTTTAATTTAAATTTTATTCAACCCAAGTAAAACCAAATACATCCCAATTGAAAGAAGACCTTCATATTAGGCCCAATCCAATTAAATTCAATACCCAACTTAACAAAATACCCAATTAGATAATTACCCAACTCCAAGACTCCAGCCCTCAAACGTGAAACGTGGTTCTTCAACTCTTCAATTTTTCGACTTTGTAACTTCTAGGTTATTTCTCCCTCTTTCAAGTTCTAACAACAAAGGTATGTGACTTTCTACTATCTATATTTTTATATATTGATTCTTTATTTTAATTCATGTTCATGTAGGGAGTGTTGTTTGTTAATTTTCTACTTATTCTCTTAATTTCCTTTTATATTGATTTGAATAATGGAAAAAAGGTTTTGCTACATTAATATGAATGTTGTTCCACCTGGCCTAATATTTATGAGCATACTGTAATCAAATGTTATTTGGATGATAAAGAGACATTAAACAGATTTTAGGTCTTTCATTTCTGGTTAGTTTTTCATAATTATCTTGGTAAAATAATTTCTTTATTTTATATATGAATGAGGTTTCTGTTATTACAATAATAATTCTAATGATTTATTGTTTTATTGAGACATGTTATGATGTTGTATGGAAGATTAATGGGTTTGCAGTTTTCATTTGAATTTTGTTAGGTAATTCCCAATAATAAAATAGAGATTATTATAGAAGACGGTCAAGGTATTGAAAATGATTTTACACTTGAATTCGAGGAGGTGCAAATAGAAGTATTCAGTTGGCTCCCTGCAGCTATTCCTCGTGTCCTTAGTACCCGTTTGTCTCAGCAGGGGTTTGGTTAAAAGAACACCTTGTTGGTCTACTATACTGCTTAATATTATATATAACTGAAATGTGTGTATTAAAGAATCTTCTCCGCCAAATGGTTATTGGAACCATGAGATCTTTGCTTAGAGAGGCAAGACTCTGGCCCAAAATAAGTTTAGCCAAAACATGCAAAATGTCTAGTTGAACTTGAATTCTAGCTCATTGTGTTTATCTTTTTTTGTTTATTCAGTTATTCTTGTGGTAAAAAAAAATTAAAAAAACACACTATATTCAAGCCTTTTTGGTATTTCATAATTGATTAGGAGTTTCTTTACAAACTGTTGCAAGTGGGGGGTCTGCCTTGAAATCTTTTGCTGTTCATATTCTTTTGTATATTAAGTTTGACGTCATGTTGAATAATATGATTTTTTCGTATGTAGACAATCGAATATGGATTCAACTTTAGAAGAGCAAAGTAATCATGGGACCGATGATAAAATTCCAGTAAATAGTGAAAATATGAATTTGCAACAAAGTGTGAAGGGTAAGAAGGGACATAAAAGGTCCGATGTGAGGGCTCATTTTGATATAAAGAATGATGGAACTGTAGAATGCATTTATTGTAGACAAGTGTATGAGCATCAATCTAAAGGTGGGACTTGTACATTGTGAAATCATATCGAGGATTTATGCAAAAAATATCCATATAGGTTTCAAGTCAAAAGGCAAAAGACATTAAATTTCTATGGTAACTCTAGAAATGATGAGGTTTTAGAGAGTGTTAGTAGTGGTGGACAACTTGTGAAGTTTACTCAAAAAGGGGTGAGAGAACAGATTACTAAGTACCTTATATTATCTGAGTTACCTTTTTGACACATTGAAGATGAAGGTTTTCAGTGTTATACAAGGTATTTTTTCTGACTTTTGATTTTCCTTCAAGAATGACAGTTGCTAGGGATATATATTGTTTGTTTCTCGATGAGAAGAAGAAATTGAGGAAAGAATTGAGTAAACACCGGGTTTGTTTGACTACTGATTGTTGGACATCTACACAAAATGTAAGTTACATGTGTTTGACTGCTCATTGGGTTGAAGATCATTGGAGACTTAAAAACGAATCAAAAGTTTTATCCAAGTCCCCAGCCATAAGGGTGATATGGTAGGAAAAGAATTGATATCTTGCCTTCAGGATTGGGAAATTAATAAGATTTTCTGTGTGACGGTTGATAATGCCTCATCTAATGACGTAACAATAATGAAATTGAAGAGTTGTTTTCTAGAGAAGAAGAATGGTCTAGTTCTTGGGGGAGAAATGCTTCATATGAGGTGTTGTGCTCACATTCTCAATCTTATAGTCTGTGATGGTTTAAAAGAAATTAGCAAGGCTATTTCATTTATTCGCAATGCTGTACGGTATGCTAGATCTCCCCCAGCACGACTAAAAAGATTTCGAGAGAGGTGCAAGGATGCAAATATTGAGTCTCGAGATTTATTGTGTTTGGATGTATCAACTAGATGGAATTCCACCTACATGATGTTGCAGGCTGCAATAAAGTTTAAAAAGCATTTGATGTTTTGGAAAGTGATGCAAACTATACAACGTATTTTGATGAAGAAAGGTCTAATGGGAAAAATATAGATGGACCACCAACACATGTCGATTGGGACCAAGCAGAAGCATTTGTTGGATTCTTGAAGACTTTTTATGATATGACATTGAAAATTAGTGACTCTTTATATTTAACGTCAAACACTTTCTTTCAAGAAATATGTGAAATTCATGCGGAGTTGAATGAATTAGCTAAAGAGTCAAATAGTATGATAGGATCCATGACAGTTAGCATGAGAAGAAAATATGATAAGTATTGGGGGTAATCTTGAAAAGTTTAATCAATTGTTGTTCATAGCAATAGTTCTTGACCCTAGATGCAAGTTGGAATTGCTTAAAGTTGGGTTTGAACTTATTTATGATGTACAAATTGCAAACATGTTGTTAAAAAAAGTTGAAAACACGCTTCACAGGTTATATGAATGCTATAAGGAAATAATGGCTCCACCATTAGTCCCACCTAAGGATGCTACTCAACCTAGAAGCCAAAGTGCTTTACAAACTACTTTGGGAACTTCTAAACATGTTCCCTCAATTTTTAGAGCTAGGTTTATGCAAGAAACTCAAGCAGAGAAGAATGATTTGGTGGACCATTTAAATGATCATTGTGAAGATTTGACCAAAGATGATTTCAACATATTAAATTGGTGGAAATTGAATGAAAATAAGTACAAGATGTGTTAGCCATTCAAATATCTACGGTTGCTTCTGAGTCTGCATTCTCTACCAGTGGTTGGATTCTCGATCCCTTTAGGAGTTCATTGAGTGCAAAAATGGTTGAGGTAGTGATTTGCACTAAGAATTGGTTACATAGTAACAAGGAACCTATTGTAATTCATCAATATTTGGATGAAGTAGAAGTATTGGATGATTCAGAAAAAGCTATAGAAGGTATTATCGTATTTTATCTTTCTATTCACTTTATTTTATAGTTTTTTACACCATATAATTTTAATAAATGCATATATTTGTTATATGCAGATAACGAATCATGTGTTACTATTGGAGATGTTTTGCCAATTAGTATTGATTAAGAGGTTAGAACAAATTGTTTCACTCCATTGAATTATTAGAACTGAAAAATATTTGTTCATAAAATACTAATATTTATATTTTAACGTGATATTTAAGATTAAAATTTATGATTTAACTTGTTCGATGTATATTTTTTTCGTTAAACCGAACCAAACTGAAAAAGGTGGTTTGGTTTGAAAAAATTTCAAACCGCTTTAAGTGGTTTTGTTTGAAAATTTGTCACAAACTGTCCAAACCGAACCATGTGCACCCCTACTTGCTGATCATACACTTGTATCTGCTTGAGTTAAGATTATCCAGCTTTAATTAAGTTGTTGGCGATTGGTTAGTATCGCACAATCGTTCTTAAAATATAGTATCAGAACCCGAACATATTTGTCTCGTGTTATAGAGTATTTTCACGTTCAAATCTTAAGTACTATTGACTAGCATCATATTCCTACATGTTGAAATTTTCTTAGGTGTACACGAGAAAGTCTGATATTTATTGTCCACATCACCTTAAAAAAAAATGAGGTCTGACGTAAGGTAATCTATAAATTTACGTACTTTGCCACTTACGTTGAAGTGAATCAATTCAAATTCAATAGATTTATTTCTCACAAGACTAGGAGGGTTAACTGCACGGCAAACAAGCCAATCGACCCGACTCGTCCCTTTAACGCCCAAAATGCATTCGTGCTGAGCAGGTGATATCATATATGTCGTCTTAGAGGGCACATTGTCCAAAAAGAAAAAGTGAAATTCTTCTAATCCCTCTCCGCCTCTCTCACCCCATCCCTCGTCCAGACTACTTTACAAAAACAAAATCTGATTTCACGACAACAAAAGCCTTAAAATCTTCGACAGTTTGGGCAACTGCGAAAACCCGAGTTTGAAAATCTCATTTCAAAATCACCAATTCAATCATCGTTAACTATTTAATTATTGTAAAATTCGAGGGGGGCTATGGCTGATTATTCCAAGGAAGATTTCCTGCAGCTGATCAAGCGTCTTGGCACTTTTTTCACCATCAAGACTTCCAATCTTTTCCGTAATTTGGTTCAACTTCTGTCTCTACCTGTTCAATTTCTTTTCTATTTGTGATTATTCGCATATGATGATTTTTCCCCATTTTTATGTGAATTTAGTGATTATAGGATTCTCTCATTTTATTAACTAATGTTTTGAACTTTAATGAGTTCTTTTACCTTTAATGGCGGATGAAATTTTGGTTTGTTAATCGGTAATAAAATAATTGGCTTACAAGTTACTGAAAATTGGTTATCAAATTTTTTTCTTGGTAATGGATTAAAGTAGAAGGAGAAAAAAATGTACTTACGAGTGTGTTAGATGGCCAACACTTAGCTGTTGCCTGTTGGTATTAAGAAATGGCCATATTTTTTTCCAAGAAATGAGCTAATTCATGCTGGGCTGTCTTTAATTGTTGGTAGTTTAAGAGAGAAACTAGTTTGTGATGCAAATGATTACTGGTTTCAAGTGTGTTTAGAAATATAGAACTGAAAATATGCCAATATCTTAAAGTTTGAAATGTTGCTGAGAATGTGCAGTTGATTGGATTAGTCTGATATCCACATTATTTGTCCTTGCAGAGTGTCACTTCATTACTTAAATGTCAAGACTCCTTATTTTAATGACAACTGCATTGCATTGAATTGAATATCTAGAACTTTTTTGTATTTCGGTGAGTGTGAGTTAGCAATTGACATAATTTTGAGTAATTATTTCGCTGACCTGTTTCCGGTTTTTAATACGTTCCGGAAATGGTTGGGGGAGTATTTATTATGTGATTTTGTGTAATGGTTTATGGAATGTTAACCTACACCTATGAGCACTTAAGTAGTTATGTTATGTATAGTTATTTGAAATTGACTGGTTATTACTTAAAAGTAACTTGTCTTTAAACTTTGCATTCTTGGCAAAATCATCCGCCGTTTGTTTATTTGATAAAGCAGTTACATGTTCAATGAAAAGACAGCTTAGCATGTATAAAATATAATGATACCCCCTTTTTGTAACAAGTGGTCGATTCTGTCAACGGATTTGGACATTATTGGTGCAATGAATTTGGATTGTATTATTTCCTGGGAGTTTGCTTGTTGATGAGGTTTTGGAATTTGTGAAAAAGGAATTGGTAGCAGATAATTCGCAGCACAGAGAAGCTCATGACATGTTGGAAGGACTAAGACATGTATACCAATGTCTGAAAAGGCTCTATTGCGTCACAACAGCTTCTGTCTCCATCAGGCGAGGTGCAAGTCTTGAGGCCCTTTAAGAAATAAGCCTCTACACAAACCCATTGAATACTTCAATAAGTTACATAATACACTCCAAAGTACAAAAGTAGAAAAAGTAAAGTAGGTCTAAAATGTACAATTCAGCAATATAATGTTAACATATTAGTTTTGGGTGAATGATAATTAACCCTGCAGTCATCAAGTAAAAGAAAACACTGAAGGAAATAATTAACCTGGCACAAGTAGAAGAAAATGTAAGATATTGAAACAGATGATATCCTGAAGTTCACAACTAACCACTAACTAGCAAGTGCAACTAAAGGAAAAAAAACACAAGAAAATATCAGTAAGTGGCAAGTAACAATAAGTCTGAAACTAATTCTCTAATTAACCATTCTTTGCAAGAATCTTAAATATTGTGGCTTTTGAAGAAAAGAAAAAGAGACACTGAGACAACAAAAAATAGTGTACAAGAAAGAAAAGAATGTCTCCTAACACTGGTAGTCATTCCTCGGTCTTTAGCTGCTGAAAAGATATAATGTCATTGATGGAGGGTTGTCAAACTGCAGTTGTAGGAATATAAGGCTAGGGCATTAAAGACTTTTTAACTTATTCTCTTCTCAATATGCAATTTTTCTTCTTAGTTTTAGAGTTGGAATCTGTTGCCAGTCTTCAAGGGGCAAGACTTGATAACATGCACCCAAGGCATACCTTTGAGACTCCTTATGAGCTCCTCACATTGTGGGCCTCAAGACGTGCCTAGGGTACTCTTGCGAACACCTAAGCGTGTAAAAGAAGTATCATTCTTCTTAGGCTAAAGAACTTGTAAATTGCGGATAAAGAATTTCCATCCTATGATTATAAGGAAGAGTTGAGATTTGAGAGCTTATGCTGAAGTTGTGTGGAGCAATTCTAGCTATATGTATAACTGTAAACCAGAACATAAATGCTCAAGTTCTAATAAATATTTAGTAATTTGACCATTCACACACGGCCGATCTTAGGGCAATGAGAGTGCACTAAATGTATTGCTGCCAACAAAAAAATATTGCTATGGCAAATAATAGAGCTTGCAATCCCCAAAAATGTATCTAATGTGAGTTGTACTTTCTCTATCAGCTTATCAAATCTGTACTTTTTCTCCTTTTTTTAGATATTGGCTTCTCTAATTATGTATTATTCTCTGGTGTAAGATTTCCAGACTGTCTAAAGAAACTCATTCCTCAGTTTGAACATCAGGTGACGTATGAGGTTTGGCAGATAATTACGAAAAAAGTGAAGCAGGAAATAACTCTAAAATGGAAATAGGAAATATCTTTCCAAATGTTCTATGGCAGATTGTACAGCTGTTAAAAAAGTTTGTAGACATCTTTTGAGGAAGAATTAATAGAACTTGACTATTCGATCGGTGGTTCTTAAACTCAACTCGACGAAGCCTTATGTCATCCCCTAATTATGTAGGATCGGTCCACTAGCCTCATTAACCAATTGATAAACTCCCGATCACAAATCCAAATAGGTTTTCTGAATATATGTATACGCGTGTGCACACAGATTTATGTTTGTATATTTTGTCTTTCACTGTAGATTTCTTTCTCTCTCCTAGAATTGTATGATTTGAATATCATTGTGTCATCTGACACTGTGTTTGCCTTGCTTCTTAAGTCATATGCCACAGGAAATATGCCTTTCCTTAAAAGAATTCGACAACCTTAGACTTCCTACACTCGGGGCGAGCACCAGATTTTGAATGAACATATTCTTAGTGTACTAAGCATGTTCGTAACATGTGATGAACATGTTTGAAATTAAGGGAAAAATAGTGACAAAATTCTGGACAATTGTGATTGATTGGTGTTTGACGTGTATTGGAATTACGCCAGAATTATTAATTCACCGTTCATGTCCCAGCCTACAGAATGACCTAATGGAAGGAAAATGATATATTAACTACAAGTTATTGAGGTAGAATCACTAGCATTATTTTTAATCTCTTGTAGGAAACATAATGATACATATTTATAAAGTTGAGGTGCAGAATTAGCAATTAATTAATTTCTGTTTAATAGTGCAATGATCGTAACATGCATATATATTTTTTTAATACCAATTGATTTATAAATTTGGGGATCAATTGTAGGATTCACGATCTGTTGGGGCTATAGCTGGGCTAGCATTTGCTGTAGTTTTTACTTGGAGATTATTGAGAACACCTAGTGGATCGGAAAGAAGGCAACCGAAATGGCAGGCTTCTACAACTGGGAGTTCTGGCTCTAGTAATCATGCAAATGCCACTTTAAATGTGACATCTTCAGGCATTAGCAATTCTTCAGAATATTCAAGAACTCAGAATGTGATAGATGAGTTCTTTCAGCCTGTAAAGGTATGTGGGAATTGTTTTTCATGTTTCTCTGCAAAATTATATGGTGCTTTAACTGATTCATGGTTCACTTGATATTCTTTTCTCCAAATGCAGCCAACTCTTGGTCAAATAGTTCGTCAGAAGTTGAGTGAAGGGAGGAAGGTACTTCCTTGAATACTTAGTTACCTGATATTCATTTTCATTGTTTGTATGCACGTGTTTTTTCAGTAAGTTGGAATTATTTCATAGACATGAATTCTTGCAACTTCTCATAGCTGGTTTGGGTGATGTATAAGCTAACTAGGCAGATGATGATGATCATTAAATTAATCCATGGAAGCTATCATTACTTTTATTACTATAGAAGTGACTTTGTGAATTTGCTGGGTTGGGGCAATTTAAATGTAGTGGTCTGTGGTGGTTGTGTACAAGCTCTGTTTGTGGAAAGCTGTTCCTTCGAAAAATTCTTTTTGATGTTCAAGAGGTTCAGCTGTTACATTGCAACTACCTCAACGATGATTTTTGTTGAAGTGCATCTGGCCCTAGTTGAAGAAGAATAGAGAGATGGCCAATGAAATCAACGAAAAAGATTATTACTTGCATGGGCAAGCTATTGGTGTTGAACAAAAAAAAGTATATATTTCTTTTAAAATTTTGATCGGGCAAAGAAAATATTACTTTGTATTTATGATAGAAACATGGTCATATATAGCAGTTATGATGACAGTGGACGATCATAGTTTTACATATATCCAAAACATCACTTCCGATTAATCAAGTGTAATGTAGTTGAAGTTAACTACTTGTGGGTACATTTAAGATGAATATATCACATTATTCAATGAAAAGGTATGAGATATTTATCGATGCAAGCTACCTTGAGCGAATCCCACGTTAGTTCCAAGACGTTGGTCTCTAACTCTTTAACTACTTGTGGGTACATTTAAGATGAATATATCACATTACTTGGTGGAATAGATGAGCGCGGAGGTATTTGGTCAAGAGTTCGATTCTCCCTACTAACATTTTTTCGGTTGAACCTGTCGCATCGGGGGTTTGTCTATTGCGATTTACTTGGCTGGCGTGGTTTGCAGGCGATTGCATTAGTCTGAGGATTTACCCAGTGCGCACCAACGGCTGCGGGTTCTCCTGTGATAAAAAAAAAAAAACATACATATGATAAATTATGCAGGCGATAAAAATGAAAATATGTGTAATATGCCCAACTAATGGAACAGTTCAGAGTTCAAAAGTAATTTGTCCTACATGCTATTCTTTTAAAAAGCCTTGCAATTATGATTTTTAAATTATTTGATCTAGTTTTAGCGTATTGTAATGAATAGGCACCTAAAATGTCGATTAAGAAGTGGATAAAATTCACAATTTCCCATTTAGTTCTCATTTTAGCATTGGAAATGGATAGACTAAAATACATTATTAATCCATTAGTTTAGTCATTACCTGTATCTTCTTGTTAATGAGAAGTAGCTCAATAGCAATTTGAAATGGGGTAATAAAAAATTAAAAAAATTAAAATAAAAACGTAAAAAATTAGAGAGAACATTGACGTGAAAATTGACTAGACCCCACAGTTTTAGATACAGCACAATTAGTTTTCAAAACAATTTCTCTTTTAAGAATTAAATGATCACAACCATGTAACTTTCAGTCATTTTAAGCTATGTGAGGGGCTTTTAAAAAAATAATAATAATAATAAATAAATAAAAATTTTCAATAGTTTTAGAATTTTGGGCAAAATTTTAGGGAATAATTTTAGGATTTAGTTTCTGATCGAATAAATCCACGTGTCTCCAATAGAATGTGTGAATGTATCTATTAATCGAGGTAAACATAGAAAAGGAAGTATGACTAAGAAAATGTCAACTTTACCTTGACTCAAGCTTCTAAAATTGCTTGGGGCACTTTAGACTAGACTTGGTGATTGTTCTATAACTAGAACAAAAAATATATATTTTAATTCATTGTCCTCATTATATTTATCTGGGATTAACATAGATATCATAGTAAGATCTATATCAAACATAGAGATTCAAAAGTCTGAATGCAATCTTGTCTTTGTAGTCTTATCATTTTCTTTATTATCATTTACATGACAATTTCTTTTGATACTTTCACAAATTATGTTGTGCAGGTAACATGCAGGTTACTTGGTATAATTCTTGTAGAAAGCAGCCCAGAGGAGCTGCAGGTTATTACTCTCTTCCGTTCCTTTCATGTTTTTGGAAACATCATTCAAGGAACCATTTGATCTCATGTTTATCTATTTATTTGCAGAAACAAGCAACTGTGAGATCGTCTGTAGTAGAGGTGTTGCTTGAGATCACAAAATTTTGTGATCTTTATCTCATGGAAAGGGTTCTGGATGATGAAAGTGAGGTATGCTCAACATGGCACGTGTTAATCGTTATTAGTTGCTATCATCGTTTTTCTTTTCTTCTTTCTCTGTTACACAGACATCGCATGTCGTTTAGAAATAACTGTGCAGAGTAATGCAAGTAAAAATGATTGTTCTTTTCCTGGTGGTATTTTTAGTGTTTCTTTTACTTTCAACTACCACTAGATTGTTGGGTTTCAGCTTTTATTTTGTCTTCTATTTGTTATCCGTTGCCATAGTCTCTCTTTCCCACACAATGTCATCGCATCTTTTCAGCCACTAAAAAAGTCTGCAGAGTTCTTTAAGCTTATCTGCAAATTAGTTGTGTATTAATAAAGCAATACATGTATTTTGGTAAATAGTAATCATACATATTAGACCAAACATACATGCATATGCATCTTCAAAAATGCATTTGCTTTGTTTATGTGTCATAAATGTGCTTTATCAGTTTTTGCTTAAGTGCTTGCATTATCGAGGCCTTGCCAAAACATTCAATCTATTCAATTAGAGTGCTGGTAGCTATCGGTTTCAGAATTTTTATTTATTTATTTTTTATTGTCATGGATATTTGTCAAAATAAATGTAGTGTCTTGTAGCTTTGTCCCCAGATTTTATTATTATTGATCCACATGCCACAAAATTTTAGTTATTTAAAATTCTAGCCTCAGATGTGAAAATATTGATAGAAAGTTCTGGTTTAAGTTGTTGTTGGATGTATTCAATTCTAGTGCTAAAGTAACGGTAACAGAGTACAGATGTTTTTCACAGGTTTAATGTAACGACTTGGCCTCTATGTTGAAATCGTATGTTGAAATCGTTAACTTACGTACTGTCCGCTATGGGAGATTTAAGCTCATCTTACTTCTCACGACTTTCTGTCACTGCCTTATCAGATACTTAAATTGAATCCTGGTACCAATTGAGGTCTTGGGTTCGAATTTCAGGGGACGTGCCAAAAATCCGTAATGGGGTAAGAGGGTAGATGCTCTCCCAAAATGGATAGTACATATGCTATAACGGCTTGAGCACAAGGCTATGGTCATTACATTTAGTTCAAAATATATATATGAGTTTAAATTCAGAATAATGAAGTTTATACCTTCTTGGAAGGTGATGAAATAACCTATGAACTCTTCCATTTTTCCTTTTAGAAATAGTAATTATACATACAAGTCAGTTGCATCTCGACCAGCATGAAATAGTTAGTATCAGCGAGTTTGACACCTTGTAGCGTATTAACTTCTTTCAGAAGATTATATACATGCAGGTCATGTGTTCTTTAACCCAAAAACTCTGGGGATTAATTTTGAAAACTAGTAGGGATATGCAAGGACAAACCATTTTATTATCATTATAATGACATGATTTTTGTACATATTTAAATTTGCATGTGTGCTGAACTTGTATAATATATTTTAAAGTTTACATATAGGTTAAAAAAAAAAAAGAAAAACCTACGAGGTGGTTGAATAGGTTGTTTAGGTCTGTTTCAATCTGTTCAAACTTTTATGCGAGTGCTTCTCACAGTTTTTACATTTTACGATCAGGCTGAATATCACTCAGAATGTAAATAAAACGTATAATAAAAAATTGATTAAGTTTTCAGAATTTTTAATGCACCAAAGAGTTTCTTTAACAAAAAAATAAAAATAAAAAATCACTAAATCATTAAGTGTGTACAGCTTTCTCTTGAAGTCAATTATGCTTATGCATTTGTTTTCATAACTTGCAGTGCCTGATGCATTTGATTCATCTTGAACCATATGGGACAATTTTTTGGCTTGTTTGCTTTACATAAAATTGCTTTCCAAGCAAAGTGCTTATGGGACTTGTCACTCCACACCTTGAGATGGGAATGAAGTCGCCTATAAACTCACATCTTTTGCTACGATGAGTAGAAACGATAGGTTGTGGGTTGATTGTATTCTATTGTCAATGTCGGCATAGTTTGCAGCAAAATATATCATAAAGTGGTTATTGGGTGTTTTAAAAAAAAAAAAAAAAAAAAAAAATTTGCTTTCCAAGCAAGTGCTCTGTACTTTTCTAATAATGAGTATATATATAAATTATTTTTTGCTATCAACACCTCATATGTTCTGTCGTGATGAACTCTGTTATTGCTTTACATGTACTCCAGATTTCATCGTCACTAATAGGTTTATAAACTTTTGCAGAAGAAAGTTCTCATAGCCTTGGAAGATGCTGGGGTCTTTACATCTGGTGGCTTAGTCAAAGACAAGGTAATGACTGAAAAAAATTATTCCTATATGATAATTTAATAATAATGCCTCTCTTTTCATGAAACGTATTCAGATTTCTGCTATTTTTTCCTTGAATGTTGTTACTTCGGTAAAGTCAATGAGAACCCCTTGCTTATCAACTAGCTTTCCATAAAAATGGAATGTATAAATATTTTTATCATTTTGCTATAAAATTGAAAGATTTACAGAATAAACGGGTCAAATTTTTCCCCCCCTTACATGTCAAGGCCTGTCTTTGTTTTTAACTATCAAATTTGAATAGAAATTTGAACAACTTGAACAAAAAGGTGTGCAATGCGATGACTATCGAGGGGTTCGCTCATTTTGTACTAATCTTGCTTAAGAACACTTTAACTTTTGGGTTTGGTTGCACCCACGCCGAGATAAAGGAGGGTGGTGGCATGTTAACAATAAATGCAAAATTTTATCACATTTTATGACGTGAACTTTCTATAAATTTCTGTACGGCATGCCTTACGCTCTGCATTTGATATCAGGTGTAGTGTAAAGTTGTCTAGGGTTAGCTAGGCTGTAACCCATAAGCGACACTCTAGTGGACGGGTGATGAAGAATTTATCTAGGACGGTATAATTAGGATACAAACTCATAATACTGGGAAAGTTACAGGAAATTAGAACTAATAGATGTGATGCCTAAGAGGAAAGTCAACATGGCTTGCATGCAAGTGGTTAAATAATTGGAGGAAAGGTGAAAGAACTAGGAAAAATAATGATGTAAACTTTGGTATACAAACAGAAAATAAACTAAAATGGTGCTTATAAGAGCATCTTCAATAGCCTCTTTTCAAGGCAGAACCTCTTTATTTTAGAGAGTCAAACCCTCTTTTTAGGAGTCCAATAAACACTATATATATAATTTAAAATAAAGATTGGAAATGACTTCAATTTTAAAAAGCCAAACCCTCTCCCTATATACTAATTTAGTGATTTCATGATTTCCATCCACCATTTTCAAAATAGAGGGAAATGATCAAATAAATAGAGGGTAGCTAGGTAAAAATTGATAAAAGAAGTCATAATTGCTTATGGTTCTATAGTTATCTTTGAAATCAGGATAGATAATAAGGTATTAAGAAATTCTTGGCAAAAGAGATGCAAATCCATAGAGGGAATATAATAGATCTTGATGCCCACTATCTTCCGGGGTGAATTCCCTATTTGATTGAAGTTATCCTCTAATATATATCCCAAATTCCATTTTTTTTAATGACCATGGGTGTCCAAGCCAGTTTATGTGCAACTCGACTAATCCCACGGGACCCTGAAATTTACAGTCAGGTACTCACCTCTGTGGTTCTGAGCGAACTCGAACTGATGACTATTGGGGAGCAAACTCAAGACCTGATAACTGAATTACCCCTCAGGGTTATTTCCTAAATTCCATTAAGGGACATAAATTAGTGCTAAATAAATGGCCTGGCTCCCGTGTTGTTATGGCATTGGAGCATGAAAGAGCGATATGAGTTAATGAGAGCACTATTTCAAGGCATTCTTAAATTTAATAACTTGGACTTGAACAATAGGAAATTACCCATTCTAAATGTTGAAAGTTCACACCAAAAATAGTGGTTAGTGCAGCAAAATTAGGTGGAAATAGAGAGACATGTGAAGGGTGCAATGGTTGTGGAGAAGTTCAATTAAATGCAATAATAATAATAATAATCAAAAAGGACAATACAGTGAATAGAGGAGGACTAGTATGGTTTGACTAATTAGGTATTATTGTGATCTCTAGAGTATTTCACGCCTTTTCTTTATATAAATTGAAGGACGTCAAACAAATTTTTTAAGGTTTACAAAGCTTACTATTTATGCTGCCACGCCACATTATCCTATCTTATGGACAAATATTTATATATGACCTAATAATTATTATTATTATTATTATTTTTTGATACATGCTCAAAGGCCCTCTCAGGCGTTGGTAGAATATAACTGATGCTGCAGTGCCTTTGCCTTTTCTCTTTCTATTGCTCCTACTTCCGCTTATGTGACTTAGGGCCCCATTTGGCATAGCTTTTGAAAAGTTAAAAGGAGCTTTTGATTTTGAATTCGTTTAGTTAATCTTATGAAAGTGCTTTTTCTAGTTAGAAGAGTTTGTAAGCACTTCCCGGAGAGGAAGCTATTTTAAAAATTTGTTTTCAAAAAAATTATGGTAGTTTCCTCCAAAAGTTCTTTTACAGGAAGCAAAAGCTAAAGCAATGTCAAACAGGTCCTTTGTAATGCTTAATATGGGATGGAGGAGCATCCTTTGAAGCCTAGCCTGCCCGTTTACTTCCACGCAGAAAGAAAAGAAATGAAAAGCCCCTTTTGGTTATGGTTGAAAGGGTCTTGAGTAGTAATATGATGTGACAAAGAGTGCTTAATTCTTGTTACATAACCTATTGCAGGCCTCATTTTTTGGGAAAACTTTTATTTCTCCTTAATAATGATAGATCTATACCCCTGTATGTATGATTTCTAGCAAACTTGGTCTTTAACAGTTGAAGCGTGGATTTATGTACATCCACAAGTTCGTCTGAGATATTTATTTTGCACCGGGTAAAACTCCCAGAGAAAATGTGGCTAATTTTAATTTCTGGTTCAAGATTATGTAGTCTCTGACTTGTTTCAAATTCATCTATGAGACAATCTTTTGTTCAACTATCTATTTAAAATTTTTTTTCCAACATACTTCAAGTTGCTTATTGTTCGTATTTTATTCTCTAACAAATGAACTTGCAGGTTCTTTTCTGTAGCACAGAGATTGGACGGACATCTTTTGTGAGACAACTTGAACCGGATTGGCATGTAGACACAAATCCTGAAATTGTTACGCAATTAGCGGTATATTTCAAATTTCTTAATTAAATATTTTTTATTCCATTTTATTTTATTTACTCTTCTATTTTCCATTAGATCAATGATTAAATATGGATGTAGGGCTATATGATAAATTTAAAATGCTCTGAGTCAGAAACATTTGGCCAGGAATTTATGTTTACACGGTTATCTTTTAGTTGATGAAGACTATCTCAAATGTAGGATATTTCCCTCTACCAAATCGTTAATTTGCAGTGTTTTAGAAAATCACCTTTATTTTTTACACGATGCCACCGCAATTTTAAATTGCACTTTTTTCTCCACTTTCTACTTCATGTTTCTGAATAATTTTATATGTGGATACCATTTTTTTTCCCGACTTTGATGAAAAAATTTTGAGTCTTAAAAATAAATAAGTTCATTTATGGACAACTCAAATGAGTATACTTTTAGGGGGATCACCGAGGCCAAGCGAACTAAGGTGTTTCATTGTGCAGATTCTCAAACTAAGAAATATTTTTTTTCTCTCTCTCTCTTTTTTATTTTTTTATTTTTTTGTGTGCCAAGGTCATACTAGCAAAATATTTTTCTTCAAGCCTCGTGACTGGTTGAGGAACTAATATGAGTACGAGCTGAGCTGGATTGAGATAACACCTTTTGTTTTACGTTGAATGGCAACAAATTCAAGTCTACAACAATCAAAACAAGTTCCAACTACTAAAAGCTGTCATTGAAGTGATATCAAATAATAGTTACCCAGGTGAAAAACAGTGGTGCCTTCCATAAGAATCGAATCAACAACACTCCCCACTACTACAATTAGATCCTTCAGTTCTATGGTGAAGCATAAAACAGAGGAATGTTCACTATAATTGGGCAGGGGTAATCTACATTCCTCTTTTTCTGATTTGAATTTCAGGAACTGGTGTTTGGGTTTTGTAAATAATTTCTTTCAATGTCCAAACTTATAATCCTTAATTTAATATAATTTAAGCTGAGCCACGTTGTTTGTGTCCTGTTTTTGACTAAGAGGTTCCATTTCTAATTATTGTTTGAGAAGATACTAGGTTTTGCAAAGGGAAGAGGGTTCCAATTTGTCACCATCCCCAAAATTGTGCCCACTTTCAGAAATGGATAAATCTATTGGTACATAATTTTGGATGGATCCAAGTACTACATTGATTATTATCAGCTGTTGATGTTCATAAATTATGTAGTCATTGTATTCTAAAATGTACATTTGATCTTGCAAGAAACTTTTTTAGGTGCTTCATGGAATTTTGATATTCATAATCAGCCATTACCATTTTGAGATTTTACCGGATGTAACTCAAAAGTAGTCGTTTCGTTGTGAAAATCATGTGTCAAATCTTCGATTGGAAATTAGTCAACGAGGGAGTGTGGTGAATGCTTATTTTAAATATATAAAACTATCTCAATCTATTAGATATGAAGTCTCTGAAGTATACTTTGTGGTTGCATGAGCCATTTGAATTATTTCAGGATATGCCTCTGTACCTTAATCAATGGGACCCAGTGAAGTGCCATCTCACATTGCCTTATGTTATGGTTAAACATACAATGACTGGCAATGGAGTCTTGAAAGGCCTCAGCAGTCCGGCTGTGAATCATAGTCTATTGGCGTAGAGAAGTCACTAGTCCACGAAAAGGGGGTCTTCTTGTGTCTCACTCTCCTTGCTCAGGTTGTGGGGAAGAGCTTTTTTAGCTTTTCAAACTCTACTTGTTCAAAAGCCAATGAGAGTGTAAGTTTTGTTCCATGCTCTAAGTAGCTTCAACCTGCTCTTACGAGATATGCCTTGCCTGCATTAAGATAAGGAGGTGGCCCTTGGTCTTGTCTTTTTATGACAGTCATTTCGATTCGTAATATTAAAGTTATCCTTTACGAATCCAAGACGATTCTGAGCATCACGAAGAGAGGTTTATAAAATCCTTCTTTTTCAGTCTAAGTGGATCATCATATTGGCCAGTAGATTCGATCTTTACTTGAAGGCCGAGTTCTTCCAATAGAGCATATCCAACTTTCTTGTTGAAGATTACTTCATTATTACCTCTAGTAAAAATATAGACTTCATGAAGGAATCTCACAAATGCAATCCTAGGAAACCTTTTGGGAAACTCACGATCGAAGATGTCCATTAAGACAATATTGAATAAGACCCTGGTGATTTCAAGAACGAAAATAGAGAATCCTACGTGTGGTTCTTTGTGCATTTTTTAAAATAGAGAAATGGAAGAGAGAACCATACGTGCGGTTTTCTTTGATATATTTAAAATTTTCAATTTTATTTAATTAAAAATTAAAAATATATTTAACCACCGTTTGTTTTCCATTCTTTGACCATAAAAATGAAAAAATATAACCGTTATATGTTACATTAAGACATCATATTCTTTTGAAATAAATTTTTGGACATTTATTTGCAGAAAAATGAATATGGGTTAACCGTACGTGCGATTCAATTGATTGAGTTCCCAGACTATTTAAATAAACAATTCTTATTTCCATGACCGCAAGTCGAAAAATATTTAAATGTTAAAATTTTAATAAATACTTAAATAAATAAATTAGTTTGCAATGAAAATGAATTATTAGAAATTTATCAGCGAAAAATCTATTTAAAAAAAAAAGGAAAAAAGAGAACCATACGTGTGGTTCTCGTCAACATTTTAAAATAAAGAAAAATGGAAAATAAAGAACCCTACGTGCGATTCTCTTTGATATTTTTGAAAATTTCAATTTTATTTAATCAAAAATGAAAAATTACAAATATATTTAATCACCGTTTGTTTTCCATTCTTTGACCATAAAAATGAAAAAATATAACCGTTATATGTTACATCAAGACATCATATTCTCTTGAAATAAATTTTTGGATATTTATTTGTGGAAAAATGAATATGGGTTAACCGTACGTGCGATTCAATTGATTAAGTTCCCAGACTATCTAAATAAACAATTCTTATTTCTATGACCGCAAGTTGAAAAATACTTAAATGTTAAAATTTTAATAAATACTTAATAAATAAATTAGTTTGCATTGAAAATGAATTATTAGAAATTTATCAACGGAAAAATGTGTTTTAAAAAAAAAAAGGAAAAAAGAGAACCCTACGTGCGGTTATCATCAACATTTTAAAATACAGAAAAACGGAAAATAGAGAACCCTACGTGCAGTTCTCTTTGATATTTTTGAAAATTTCAATTTTATTTAATCAAAAATGAAAAATTACAAATATATTTAACCACCGTTTGTTTTCCATTCTTCTACCATAAAAATGAAAAAAAAATATAATCGTTATATGTTACATCAAGACATCATATTCTCTTAAAATAAATTTTTGGACATTTATTTGTGGAAAAATGAATATGGGTTAATTGTACGTGCGATTCAATTGATTGAGTTTCTAGACTATCTAAATAAACAATTCTTATTTCCATAACCGCAAGTCGAAATATACTTAAATGTTAAAATTTTAATAAATACTTAATAAATAAATTAGTTTGCATTGGAAATGAATTATTAGAAATTTATCAACGGAAAATTGTGTTTAAAAAAATAGAAAAAAGAGAACCCTACGTGCGAATCTCGTCAACATTTTAAAATAAATAAAAATGGAAAATAGAGAACCCTACGTGTGGTTCTTTATGATATTTTTGAAAATTTTAATTTTATTTAATCAAAAATATAAAATTACAAATATATTTAACCACCATTTGTTTTCTATTCTTTGACCATAAAAATGAAAAAATATAACCGTTATATGTTACATCAAGACGTCATATTCTCTTGAGATAAATTTTTGGACATTTATTTGTGGAAAAATGAATATGGGTTAACCGTACGTGCGATTCAATAGATTGAGTTCCCAGACATCTATATAGACAATTCTTATTTCCATGATCGCAAGTCGAAAAATACTTAAATGTTCAAATTTTAATAAATACTTAATGAATAAATTAGTTTGCACTGAAAATGAATTATTAAAAATTTATCAGGAAAAAGATGTGTTTAAAAAAGAAAGGAAAAAAGCGAATCCTACGTGCAGTTCTCGTCGACATTTTAAAATGAAGAAAAATGAAAAATAGAGAACCCTACGTGCGGTTCTCTTTGATATTTTTGAAAATTTCAATTTTATTTAATCAAAAATGAAAAATTACAAATATATTTAACCACCATTTGTCTTCTATTCTTTGACAATAAAAATGAAAAAATATAACCGTTATATGTTACATCAAGACATCATATTCTCTTGAAATAATTTTTTGGAAATTTATTTGTCGAAAAATGAATATGGGTTAACCGTACGTGAGATTCAATCAATTGAGTTCCCAGACTATTTAAATAAACAATTCTTATTTCCATAACCGCAAGTTGAAAAATACTTAAATGTTAAAATTTTAATAAACACTTAATAAATTAGATTGCATTGGAAATGAATTATTAGAAATTTATCATGGGAAAAATGTGTTTAAAAGAATCGGAAAAAAGAGGAACCTACGTGCAGTTCTCGTCAACATTTTAAAATAAAGAAAAATAGAAAATAGAGAACCCTAAGTGCGGTTCTCTTTGATATTTTTGCAAATTTTGATTTTATTTAATCAAAACTGGAAAATTACAAATATATTTAACCACTGTTTATTTTCCATTCTTTGATCATAAAAATGAAAAAAATATAACCGTTATATGTCACACCAAGACATCATACTCTCTTGAAATAAATTTTTTGACATTTATTAGTGGAAAATTGAATATGGGTTAATCGTACGTGCGATTTAATTGATTGAATTTCTAGACTATTTAAATAAACAATTCTTATTTCCATGACCACAAGTCGAAAAATACTTAAATGTTAAAATTTTAATAAATACTTAATAAATAAATTAGTTTGCATTGGAAATGAATTATTAGAAATTTATCAGTTGAAAATTGTGTTTAAAAAAATGAAAAAAGAGAACCCTAGGTGCGAATCTCGTCAACATTTTAAAATAAAGGAAAATGAAAAATAGAGAACCCTACGTGCTGTTCTCTTTGACATTTTTGAAAATTTCAATTTTATTTAATCAAAAATCAAAAATTACAAATATATTTAACCACCGTTTATTTTCCGTTCCTTGACCATAAAAATGAAAAAATATAACCGTTATATGTTACGTCAAGACATCATATTCTCTTGAAATAAAATTTTTGGACATTTATTAGTGGAAAATTGAATATGGGTTAATCATACGTGCGATTCAATTGATTGAGTTTTCAGACTATCTAAATAAACAATTCTTATTTCCATGACCGCAAGTTGAAAAATAATTAAATGTTAAAATTTTAATAAATACTTAATAAATAAATTAGTTTGCATTTGAAATGAATTATTAGAAATTTATCAACGGAAAATTGTATTTAAAAAAATGGAAAAAAGAGAGCCCTAGGTGCGAATCTCGTCAACATTTTAAAATAAAGAAAAATGGAAAATAGAGAACCCTACGTGCGGTTCTCTTTGACATTTTTGAAAATTTCAATTTTATTTAATCAAAAATGAAAAATTACAAATATATTTAACCACCGTTTGTTTTCAATTCTTCGACCATAAAAATTAAAAAATATAACTGTTACATGTTACATCAAGACATCATATTCTTTTGAAATAAATTTTAGGACATTTATTTGTGAAAAAATGAATATGGGTTAACCGTACATTCGATTCAATTGATTGAGTTCCCAGACAATCTAAATAAACAATTCTTATTTCCATGACCGCAAATCGAAAAATACTTAAATGTTAAAATTTTAATAAATACTTAATAAATAAATTAGCTTGCATTGGAAATGAATTATTAGAAAATTTTCAGCGGAAAAATGTGTTTAAAAAAAGTGGAAAAAAGAGAACCCTACGTGCGGTTCTCTTTGATATTTTTGAAAATTTCAGTTTTATTTAATCAAAAATGGAAAATTACAAATATATTTAACCACCGTTTGTTTTCCATTCTTTGATCATAAAAATGAAAAAATATAACCGTTATGTGTTACATCAAGACATCATATTCTCTTGAAATAAATTTTTGGACATGTATTTGTGAAAAAATGAATATGGGTTAATCGTACGTGCGATTCAATAGATTGAGTTCCCAGACATCTAAATAGA